GTTCTTGAATTTCTAATTTACGTGCTCGATTCTTGAATTTCTAATTTACTTCTATGAGTGAACTCTAGAATTCTTTCACAAAAATCTTCCTCGTAATTTTGATTTTCTATTATTTCAAATAGAAATAAAATAATTACTTCAAATTTTCAACGTTCGCAACGCCTATTTCAATAGCAATAGTCAGCAAATTTTCTTTCTTGCCGCTCGCAAGATACGTCATTTTTAAATTATCGAATAGTTTGAAATCGAATATAATTATTGTTCAAATATATTCATAAAAAATCCTGTTGATTGCGTTTGTACCTATGATATAGACTTATTGAAGAAATTCCAAAACAAAAACTTAACTCTTATTACAAAATAGAAAAACACAGTATAAACAAATGATCGGACAACTTTGCTCTGTCTGAACAAAGCTAACTTATTTTAGGAAGAATGTAACTCCCGAAAGTCAGGCGATGGCATCTTTGAATTTACACAAAGTGATAAATTCTGTTCCTATTGAAAAACAAGAAAGGAGTCTTGCAAGATAGCAATTTTACTTACACATCTCCTTTCATGGGTAGTTTATGCACATTAATATTTTCTCTATACATAAAAAAATAAATAAATACAATAAAATACCCTAAAAGTGGTAACATAACAAGTTAAGGAAAGAATATTTTGGAAAAGTTGCCAAGAAAATTACAGGCATCATAAAAGTTAACCAAATTAATTTTTAGGGAAGAAATTTATAATTGGCCCGGTACAAGTTTGTCATAATCCAAAAGATTTCTGAATCTACACGAATATGTAGTCTAAGATTTTAAAAAAAGACTTTATTTCATTTCTAAATGAAAGATTCTTAATATTTTCGCTTGTTGAAAATAATGTATAGTATTCGGGTTTTAACATTTTGTCCTAAAACTAGTTATCTCTAAATTCTAATTATTTTTAGATTAAGTGATGCTGTCGCACAGTTGTCATAGAATATTTAAGCATCAAAAAATAAAAAAGGCTCTATATATCAAGCTGATACTTAATTATTCATTTTTTATTTTTTGTCTCTCCTGTCAAATCAGTTTTGTTGGAGATGACCGGTTTTCGAACTCATTGATTCATTTGATGTTTGGGTCACCACAGGAGGTTACCCAGATAGCAAAATAAGGCTTATTTCTAATCAGCAAAAACCTTTATATGTAAACCTAAAAAGGTTTTTATGCTGTTTACCTGTAAACCTTCTGATCCTAAAACGAGATCGGTGTCAATCTGCTCTATTCTACACACATTACTCTAATCCAAAACCTTGGAAAGCAACCTGTATAAAAACCTGAAAATCAAGGTTGTCTTATTAGAGTTTGCAAGCGTGATAAAAATCCTTGAATAAACGTTAGTCTTAAGGAGAAAATAATCTGAAAGCTAGGTAATTATAACGTTTCTTTTCGCAACGTCTTGTATGCTCAGCTTCTTAAGTAACAATACTTTTTAGAAAAGATTTAAAAAAATAATTTTCAATCCTTTTAGAATGAAAGGTTTGAAACTGCAATATTTTTGCTTTATTGAAAAAAGGTTTTTAGTACAAACATTTTCGTGACAATAAAAAGAAAATTCTGACAAAGGTTGCCGTAAGGCATACCCTCCAACTGCTACGGAATTTCCGTAGTTTCAGAAATCTTCTTTTCAGACGGTAGCAAAATTAATGTCTTAATATTTAAAAAAAATTAATTTTAGCGTAACTTGTCCACTATTACTTATAAAAGTGCAGGCCATATGGCTAGATTCTTAAGTTCTGATAAAAGTTTCATGAGAGATCCATTTGCTTTAAAAATTTCTACTTTGGTTCGCTACCACTAGAAAGAATTATTTTCAAAATCCTCATAAGTTGGAGGGTATGCCGTAAGGTTACATGCCTTCTGGGAAAAAGAGTTATGCTTCAAAAACGAGAAAAAGGATGCTCACATATTACATATTCACATATAGAGTTCTACAGTTGAGAAGTTGGTACTTAAAATATTCTAAAGTCTAACAACGCTTTAAGAAGAGCTGAAATATAGTGAACAGTCAGCTATAGTGAACGTATAGTGGTCGTTATTTAAATGTTATTTCCTACACTTATAAGCAAAGAAATTGGTAGTTCGCTTATAGCGGACTCAAATTTCCTTTTTTCATCTATTTAAATGAATGTTACTAAAATTTTTGTCTATATTAAACTATTAAAAGTATATAATTATGACTTTTAATATAAAACTCATTGTAAAGAATTGCTTGAAATGAATATTGAATAATGCAAGTGGTTTCAAAGCCAGGAACATTGGAGGGTGAATCAATTGCACAGGAAAACCAACTTTTAAAGGCATATTTTTTTCAAAATTGGGGAAATAAAAGGAATAAACCACTAAACAATTCCAAAAATGAATACAATTGAAAATGAAAACTTCATCATAGTGAGACAATCACTTCGTTATATGGCGAATACTTTGAACGCTGTTTAAAGTTCCGATTAAAAATTTCCTTATAGGGAGAAATTCACTGCAAGTAAAATTTGTTTTTTAGAAAATGTATATATTTATATTAATTCGTAAGCAAATTATGGACTATTATAATTATTATTTACAATAAAACTACTGCAATAAACTAAAAAATAAATTTTTTCCACGATTTTGGATATAATGAACAATTGTTTATGGTGGACATATTGCATATGCCTGGCGCTCCGGGAAAATAAAAATAGAACGGTTATTTTTTCATTGACGGAATACTTTAACATAAAGAAAATATTTTAGGGCAGGCTACTACTCAGCTCGTACTACCAAAATCAAAATGAAAAAAATTCCTTGAATTAGCTCATGACTCTACCTTTGCATGTCACCTGGAAATGGAATAACTGATGGTATATAATATGCTTTTTATTTATTTTTAAGTTTATTGTCTCATGAAAGTTGTTCCTTATGTTTATTTTATAATGATACTGATTATTTATGATGAGAAGAGTTTGATAAAAATATTTTTGAATATTTGAACCAATTATTAATTTGTATATTATATTATTTTCTAGGAGACTATTTTTATGAATAATTTATGGGAATAATAGCTCTGAACTTTAATTCTTTGATATTTCTTAACTTGATTTGGATAAATTTAATAGTTTAGATCAAGTGATTAACTTTTGAAGTATTTTTTAAGCTTTGAGTTTAAAATAATTCCAACAAGCATGATTAAGGGTAATTCATAGTGCTTTTTTCATGTGGTTAAGTGTTTTATGTGTTTAGATCTTTTTATTCTTGTGCAGTTTGGTGTTTCATAATGCTTAATTCTAAGCTTCATTGTTAGTTTTGTGTTTGAATTTTATTTAAAGCCCAAACCCATAACTTGAGGGTGTAATACAAGAATTTATCATTTTGTCTATTTGTGTTAATTCAGAGATGCCATCGCATGACTTTTGGGAGCCTTCCTCAAAGGAGTTAATTTTGTTCTGACGGTCATCGAGCAAGGTTTTCCGGCCTAACATAGTTTTTTTACATTGTGTTTTTCTATTTTGTAACAAAGGTTGTTAAGTTTTATTATGGCGGTTTCTTCAATAAGTCCGTATAAATTGAATCATAGTTAGCCAGAGCCTGACAAAGGCATTGGCGAAAGCGGCAGCTACCCCAAATCGAATAAAAAGTTTATTTTAGGTTTCTTTCTTTAATAAACTTTTTTTAAACAAAATATATGTACAGTGTAAAATCCATCAGTTTTATATTAGCTTCTTCATTAATCTATAGTATGAACGCTAAAAATCTATCTTTCGTAAATCCATGGCTTTCCAGGGAGGAATTCGACTAAATTTTAGCTATGACGATGAACAAATTTGGTCAATGAAAAGCCTGTATTTTTACCTATCGCAAAATGCGATATGTTTACAAAAATATGGGCTTCTGATTGGCTTAATTGAGTCAGCGTAATAGCTAGGTGACAAAGTTAACAATCAGAAAACTACATTCGGCATGATGAACATAGAATTGTCAGAAAATCAATAAAATAGACAGAACGATACTTCGTCTGACCATTGGAGAAAGGGGGACTTTTCAGCTATTTTAGGCTCTAGTCAAATTTCTTGTTACATATCTATAATGAGGCGAAAAATTTAAATACATCCATAAAGTTCGGTTCTTCATTACTGAAGTAATGAAGCAGAGGGGGTCCCAATTTGGCTAGTCGGGCCCTGCAGTTAGCATTTTGATAATACATTTTTCTTATAATGCTCTGGCCACGATATTAAATATCATATTATTTGTAGTCATATCCTTAACAGTTAGTTTTATCTCTCTTTATTTTCGTACCATCTAAGGAACTATCTTTTGAATCATTCATTGTGTGATAAAAGTCAATAAAATAACAAGCCTTAACAAAATAATTTATTGTTAGCTTATAATTTCATAAGGTAACCATCTGTCTGCATATTTCCAAGTTTCTTCCGAGAATATGTCATCTCCAGGATATGGCATGTTTTCAAACTAAATTGAGATTTCAGTCCACGAAATATACTATACCAAGTAGGAGGATAGGAATTTTTTATATCCTAACAATGTATCGACGTCAGCTAAGCTTAAAAATGCAAGAATTTCACTTTTGATAAAAATTGGAGATGATTGGTTTGGGAATCATGGCAGATTTCAAACAATGACAGATGTGTACTGAGTTTAGAAGAGACTCATAAATGGGATAAAATGTTTTTAAAAAATCAACTAATTTAGCTTAACTTTTTTACTTTTAACTCAACTTTTTTTACTCAAATAATAAAATATTTATGTGCCATAAAACCTTCCAAAAGATTACTTGAATTGAATTTCTTACCCTTATAATTTTCTATTGTAATTAAAAACGCCGATCAAAGGAAATAAATTTCATAATATTTTTATATGGACAATGGCTTTATAAAGGCATACAAATAGAAAATATTATTTAAGTAAATAAATGTTGCCTAATATATTAAGATCTTTCGTACATTAGTCATTAGAGAATAATATTTTTTCTTACAGGTCACGATGTGCAACAGTGAAATTGAAGACGCATCTCACGCTGAAAATCTTTTTTATTATACTCATATGCTTAATAATTTTACTTGTCTTAAGCTTTGATATTTACGTAGCACCATTAAAAATAAATGCCCTTTATCATCAAAGTATCAATCAAAAATTGAAATACAAAGTTTTTAAATACTTTGAGAAGAATGTATCGCATAATGGAAGCAATAAATATAATGATTCGGAGCATGAAGAATATCATAAGTTTCTTCTCGAAGCAAGACACAATGTGACATTTTTCTTTTTTAATAATTCAAACACGTTTCTTCAACTTTTTAAAACATGGCTAGAAACTCGAAATAATCCAGAACCATTAGAAATTTTCTTTACCATCAACCATCAACATGTATGTAAAAATAAAGGAAAATATTTGACTCTTTTGATTGCAGTGACATCATCAGCATCCCATTTGGAATCAAGAGCAGCCATCAGAGAAACCTGGGGTAATTTTGCGAAAACAAAAGGACTCAAAGTAGTCTTTTTTGTAGGTTTGCCAATAAATCCAAAATATGATTCACGTATCTCCAATGAAAATTCAAAATTCCAAGATATCATACAAGGTAAATTTGTGGATACATACTCTAATTTGACAATCAAAACAATTTCTATACTCAAATGGATTGCCAATGTATGCTCACAAGTGAAATACATTTTAAAGGTAGATGATGATATGTTTATCAATGTAGAAAATTTTTTGAACATAACAGAGACACAAAATTATTCCAAAACTATTCTTGGGGAATTGGCACATGAATGGCCACCTGTAAGAAGTCACCGAAACAAATGGTACACTTCATATAATGATTATCCTTTTAATGTTTATCCTGATTTTGTGTTTGGACCTTCTTATCTACTAACTGGCGATTCAGTTAGTTCTTTATATGAGGAGAGTATTAAAATGAAATTATTTCATTTAGAAGATGTTTATATAACCGGTATTGTTGCAGAAAAAATAAAAGTAAAAAGAATTAATCTTTCACAAATGTATAATACTGTCAGAGATTTACAACCGTGTCATTTTAAAAGGTTGTTAAGCAGTCACGGTCATACACCTCCAGATATAAGAAGACATTGGCTGTGGTTAAGAAGAAAAAATTTTGAATGTGATTCGTAGAATCCCTCAACAATACTGTAACTTAATCATTTGTAATATTAATAAACGGATTTAAGTGACTTTGTAGTGAATTTAAGTAAAGTCATTTTAAAGTACTTTCGTTGCTATTTCACTGAATCTTTTTATTTCTAAAATAATATAAAGTACGGATGCAAAAAACAAACTGTTATAGAAAGACGAGGAAAATGCTTGGAATATTGATGAAGATACCCGAACTTTTAGGGAACTTGGAAATGAAAATAAATAAACCCAACCATTTTCCAATTTTAATTAAGGGCTCTATATTAGAAATAAAACAGCCGCAACGTAAATAAACAGCCTGTAAAGAGATTAATATACATAACATTAAATACATTTATTTTTAAGGTGTTCAATATATTTCGTTATTTTATTAAAATAAGCATGAAATACTTTATTAAAAGTTACTTTTAAATTCAATATTTTTTAATTTGAAAATTATAGTAATTAATTATAATAATTAAGGAATTATTTTAAAAAAATCCCTGAATATTATTTATTTGAAAATAATCTCTTTTTTTTTTCAAAAAATATGAGTTAAAAATGAATTTTAATATTTAAAAAAAAAGTACGGAGCTCTTTAAAATTTCATATTTTTATAAATTGCAGTCCTAAAGTACTTTTTAAAATAAATTAATAAGAAAATATGCTTTCTTCTATCAAAGTTTAAGTTCTTCATTAGTAAGCTATTACAGTATGACTACAAGAAATTTAATTTCTATTCATCATTCTTTTGCACAGTCTAGGTTTTTGCCTTTAGTACATAATTCTTCCCATTAAACATTTTTAGACTAATAAGAATTTTTTTTCCAAATCCATTACTTCTTTACAATTTTTGTCTGTAGCACAATCTGTGTAGCCTATACGTAAATTCGGTCTTGCTTCTTCGGATAGACAATCAGTACAAATATGGCCCTTGAAACGACTTCGAATAAGGACCGGGTTCAAAGCCCAGCGATGGCTGGTCAATACGTATTCCGCACCCGACTCGCACCGACCACAGTGATGACGTAAAATTTCCTCATTGGTAGACGTATCATGGGTTAGAGTAGCTTTTCCCTCAAGCTAACAATGGGAGATTTTCGTGGTTTTCCTAAACAAGTAACTCAAATGTGGGTTAGTTCCATCAAAAAGTCCTCCACGAAGGCAAACATTTCTCCCAATACTTGATCCAGGAGTTTCCTTGTCCTCTGGATTGGGCTCAAAATTACAAGACCACGGAGTAGAACATAGTAGTAGTAAACCCAAAAATTGATTCGACTGTTCAACGACGGTTATGAAATAAAATGGGGACCTCGTAGTATCACTCAAAATTTCATTCCAGCTTTACTACTAGAGCAAGCGTCTTGACATCCTTTTTTTCAGAAACATGAAATATTGTTCAACAGTTATGGACATGGACGTTTAGTTCTGTGGTATTTGGTAACAGATGGTCTTTCAGTACCAGTCCTGGGGATAAAAGAATTTTATTTCCTCAGTTGAACTTGAAGGTATACCCTCAGAGAGTGTTGTCGGGCAGTTGCCTTGGTTGGAGGCAAATTTGTGAATTCAACCTTCGAGACTGCCTATTGAAAGAGATTTTAATGAGTAAGGTTAAGAGGAACTCTGCCGTGTCCCGTATGTAGATGGACTATTAATTTGACTGCTGCATCAGAAAACTGATCAGGCGTAGCTTTAGGATCATTAAAAACTGAGTTTATGATCTTCTTGAAAATGTTGATGAATTTTATTTTGCCTTTCCTTAAATGACTGTCGCAGCCATTGAAGACGAGTAGGAATGATAAAAAATTATTCTCCTTTACATGTTCATCACATATGAATGAAACAAATAATTAAGGAGACAAAATCTATGACACTCTCTATTGTAGCTATAGTTTGAATGAAAGAATAACGCAAGTTTATTAGAATGCAGAAGTGCTTAATAATTCACTCCAAGTAGTAAGACTAAAGGGCAGTTTACTTATAGATTAATGTCCACATTCACGAAAATAATTGCTTTTTTGGTTATTACGTGTATCGATGGCAAGGAAATAGGAATGAATAAAATAATAAAATTATATGTGCCCTAAAAGGAGATTTAGATAATTTTACAATTCGATAATTTGTATTTTTCATTTGATATGGTATTTTTGGGTTACAGACGATCTTAGGTTCGCACTGGAAATTTTATTTGCAATGCGAGGCACTAAAATTAAAAATAAATTTCATAATTAAGTGCAAAAATTTTTCGGTCTGCTTAAAAAGTTCGCAAGAAATAATAATTACAAGAATACAAGAAAGAATAACGCAAGTTTATTTTTTACATTTAATTCGAAAACACCATCCATTCTTTTTCGCATCTTTTGTGTTGTAAATAAATTGTTTATTTTATCATAACATGCCTGTAACAAATTCTTTTAAATGTGCTGCCATCTGTGTATAATATAAAGAACCATCGTTCAGAATGAAGTTAAATACTGTTGAACTAAGAATTCATCGAAAGAAAATTAAAAAAAGAAATGATTGGAACTTAAAAAAGGTATTGGCCTGTTAATATATCCCAGGTAATAACATAGAAATAGTTACAATTATCATATAATGAGAGCATAATAATATTTAGTTTACAGTAATTTCTTAGTTAACTCTAAAAACATCTTTTCGTTCACAAATACTAATGAAACAAAATATTTCTCTTTTAATTATCGTCTTGAAAATTGCTCGGATACGTTTATCTTTCAGGAATTTTGTTATCTACTCTTTTGAAATAGAAAATAATTAAGCCATTCATCTGTGAAATATAGCATTTAGTCCTCAAAAATTCATCATTCCCTTCAAGAATGAGGATTCTGGGCAGTAGACACCGACTGGAAAGACCGGTTGAGTTTCTTGCCAAGAAGCACAGTTTCAAGCTTTACGTGACGTCATTCCCTCATGGACCATTCACTCTACTGTAGCTCATGGTCGGGCCCCTGTGGATTTAAGCTTGGCCTAAGCTACTGAAAATAATGGGACCCTTATAGGTTCAATTCTATTTCTAAACACCTAAATTAAAATATCATTAATTTTTATTGTTAAGTATTAACATTGAATTTTTAAACAAATTTGGAATATTACTTGATTGTTAGATATATTGATTGTGATGAGATTATAATGTAAAACCAGGCCCTTTCTTTTATTGCACATATTTTTTGAAGGATGAAAACAAAGTTACAGCAGAAACACATTTTAAGTTCATTCTAAGCACAGAGTAAAAATTTGGCATGCATGAAGGGCCATTATATATTTAGCTAAGTTTTTTCTTCTTCGAAATTCTGAATATATATTAAGGCTATATGACACGAGGCAACCTAGTTGAAAGCAACTAGCGGTTTCGGTGAAGTTGAAACGTGTTATATGATGGTTGCCCGGTTGCTTTCAACCTGCTTTCAACTAGCAACTGAAGTTAAAACCTTTCAACTTTAGTGGAGCAACCAGATTAGTTGAAACGTGTCATATAGTAGTTTCCAAATACTTTCAACCTTAACTAGCAACCATTTAGTAAACAAAATACACGTGCTGATTCTGACGCATCCTGCCCAGATAGCAATATAAGGTTTTTTCAACACAACAAAAATCTTTTCATGTAAACCTAAAAAGGATTTTTTACACGGTTTACGTGTAAACCTTCTAACCTTAAAACGAGGTCTGCGACAATCTGCTCTATTCTACGCACATTACCCTAATCCAAAACCTTGGAAAACAACCTTCAACATAACAACCTTAAAACGAGGTTGTCTTAGGGTTTTCAAGCGGGAAAAAAAAACCTTGAATAAAGCTAGTTCTAAGATGAAAATCATCTTAAATCTACATAATTATAAGGTTTCCGTTTGCAGCGTTTTCGTATGCTCAGCTAAAATCTACCCTGTCATAAGATTTTCATTGACAATGCAATTTAATGCTATTGCTAGTGTACGTCAGCTAAAACGTCATTCTGAACGTGATGTCATCTCTCCCACGATTGTATGACAGCGCGTTTTATTATTTGTTTTATATTTTTCTTCTTATAGCTTCTCAGTCCGAGGTAAATTCTCCTTTCCATCAATTTTGCTTGATTATTTTGGGGGAAATAGTCATTTTTAATCAGTCTAACTTACTTTGCTGTAAGAACTGAGCGAAAAAATTCCAAATATTTCTTCTTTGAGCTAAAAAAGAATGTTTGCATATTTCCCTACGTATAAGAAATTTCCTTGTTCATGAAGTTTATAAATATTGTTTTTATATTTAAATTTTAAACTCACTTCTTTAATACTGATTTTTATTTTAAAGTTCCTGTTAAAATTGATAATCACCAGGAAGTCATTAAAAATGATAAAAATTAAGATTTAAATGCTAAAATAGTTCAAATTTTTGTTCAACAAAATAAGAATGTTAAAAATATTTGAATTTTTTTTTTTTT